ATTCACATTCTTTATCTCTTTATATGTTTGATCGCTTTCAGCTGTGGTGGGGAACGGATTCATTGCAAAGGGTATAACCTTTGAAAACTCGGCAGGCCCTAGTAAGCACCAAGCAGTGGCCTTAAGGAGTGGCTCAGATCTCTCTGCATTTTATAAATGCAGCTTTATTGGTTACCAAGACACTTTATACGTTCATTCCCTTCGGCAATTCTATAGAGACTGTGACATTTATGGTACAATTGACTTCATATTTGGCAATGCAGCTGTGGTCTTTCAAAATTGCAACTTATATGCTCGTAAACCAAATGAAAACCAGAAAAACATATTTACAGCCCAAGGAAGAGAAGATCCCAACCAGAACACAGGAATATCCATCTTGAATTGCAAAGTCGCTGCAGCTGCAGATTTAATTCCAAATCAAACGAATTTTAAGACATATCTTGGTCGTCCTTGGAAAGAGTACTCTAGAACAGTTTATCTTCAATCTTACATTGGTGACTTGGTTGATCCGGCAGGATGGCTTGAATGGAATAGCACATTTGCATTGTCTACGCTTTACTATGGGGAGTACAAGAACAGAGGCCCTGGCTCTAATACAAGTGCTAGAGTGACGTGGCCTGGTTATCGAATCATTAATAGCTCCAATGTGGCAGGTCAGTTTACAGTTGAGGGATTCTTGCAGGGTAGTCAATGGCTTAATTCTACTCACATTCCTTTCTTTCCTAATCTGAGTTGAGCCCAATTTTTTTTATTTTTGCCCATGATGTCTCAACAGTCAACAACTGGCTTTCGTCTGGGAAAAAATTATATCCATCTACTGAGAAAAGTTCTAGTGTTATTGTCAACCACTATGTACTGGAATAAAAGTTGTTTAATAAAATCCTATTGTTTAATCCTATGATTGATCTTGTTAAAGGTATTTGTTACTCCAAGGTGTAAGTTCTGTAGAGTATAAAGGTTTCTGTCTGATTCATTCCATCACTATTTTGTTACGAGTTTTACTCTAAAGATGGCCCTTAATTTGTCTCCTAAAGACACAGCGTTTATATATATATATATAAAAAAATATAAAAAAATTCCAACGAGAAAAACGATGAAGGCAAGACATGGAGATAGGATTAACAAACGGATTTTGTTTTACTTGGGCTGGACCAAATAAGTGTTAAAAAAAGGGCCTAACCAGTCTCAACGAGGAGGAAATGGCCGTTACTAAAAATGCCAAGCCCAACTCCTCAGGGCATAGTAATGTGAAGTATAAAAACAACTAAAGCCTAGAATTTGTTTTTAAAACAGGTATTTAAAAAAAATACTTTCAAAAAATCAGAAAATTTTATTCTATGGCAAAACATCAACAGTTGATAAAGAGCATTCACCCAAGAAAGAATTAGATAATACCATTACAGCCTATATGATATGTTAAAATCAGATCATACGGAAAGATTCTGACCCACAAATTATTGTTGAAGATTACAATTGTAAAGACTAAAGAGTGGTTTATATTATATTTAATTTATGTATTTTTAATTTGCAGTGGTCAAGGGTATGGTCCCTGGAACGGCTACATATGATGGTCATAGGCTATATAGTCTACGAAGAATAATAACAATTCCTGCAAAATCCGGAAATCACGGGATGTAAATGAGAAATTATGTTCAGATTTCCAAATGGTGGTAATCATGAAACTCACTGCTCGGATCCCAGTTACTATTTTCACACTCTGGTTTATTCATGCTCACGGGTTCGTTTAATCAGTAGGTTAAGAAAAAACAGTGAATTCATGTGGAAAACTTAATGCATTTGAGGATTAGAATCACTTACTGAACCAGATTCCCTAACAAGTTAGCTGCATTAATGGTCAGTAAACCCAGTTGCAAAATTGAAGGCTTTGAGCCGAGTTTAGTTTCACTTTCACACATTGTTTGGAAGTAGTCCAGGTAGATTTGAGTTTTCAGTCCATAATCAACGACATCAAAGACTCCAAGTTATTTTCTAAACTCATCTTCACTCACATACTCCCAAAGAGAAATGCGGTGTCAGCTTTTTTGCTGCAGTGTGATTTGTAAGTCTTTTCTCCTTTATTTTGACAGTGAAGCACATATAAGATGAACATGAATGCATGCTATTGCATGTGGAAGGATATCAGAAGAGCACATGATAACATAACATTGATTGGGTCAATCCATCGCTTTCTTATCAAAAAGAACTATAGTCTATATATGCGTGACACTTGTTTTATTTTTCAACCTTTCTTATCTCAATTTCCATTATTTTTTTGTACTCTATGATATGTATTTTTTGTGATTCAATAATGGAGACGTCTCCCTGGCCATCTTCCTTTGTGCTACTTTTTTCTTTCTTTCCTTTGGTTGGCCCCTATGTATCATCACTTGCTCAACATTTTGTTCAGCCAACATGCCTTGGGTCCTTGCTCCTCCTCTCCTCTTCTACGTGTTCACTTAGTAACGAATAAAGGCATCTCTTTTACATCCACATAAATTATATATATATATATATATATATGTGTGTGTGTGTGTGTGTAGTCAATTAAAGGAATGCCGTATGCAAACAGAGACAGACCAATCATTTAAAAGAAAAGATTGTGGAAAATAATTCTCCCCTCACATGGAGTATCACGCTTTGTCAAAGGATGATCTACATAGAATTTTCTCTCATTTTATTTACCCGACAAGTGTTATTTCTACAGATATATATTAAATTAATTGCTTTATCTTTAATTAATTAAAAGCGAGATTAAAAAATCTCTCTCTCAAAAGAAAAAAAAAAAAAGAGGGGAGAGAGAGAGAGAGTGAGGGTTCAATCAAGCTGCCCCGGAAGCATTAAGGATTTCTTTGTGAACACGATTTCAACCTCTTGTCCGAATCAAAATTTCGAAGTTGAAAATTGACATGACGAGACAAAAAGTTATTCTGAAATGTTACTATTTTTGCAGCATTGTGACCCCAACACTAACATGTAATGTAATAAAAAACCAAACAAAAACTCGTAGTAAAGAAATCAGATTCAAAACATCGCTTCATTGAAGCGAAATTTTTATTTCCGTGTTAGGGTTTCTATTATAGGTTTATTACCGACCTGTACCAAAAGTTTTATGAAAAATCCACTGTATACACTTCTATTATTCAAAGCACTCAAAACTCAAAAGATTGAAAAAAAAAAAAAGAAATTGAGGGGGAGAAAATAGTATGGATATTATAAGGATAAAACAACTAATTAGAATAAGGTTCACTTTCTAATTCTCACGTGTGCTATTTACCATGTGTTATAAGAGTTGTTAGCCTGTTAGGTAACCATAAATTGGCAGCCTTTGAACCCGTGACTATTTCTGGACTTCTTCTTTAAGTAGTGGGCCAAACACCCACTCATAGTTTGCCATAAAGACAACGTGGTACCAAAAGATTTGAAAATAACAATTACCCACTTTTTTTCAAATCTGTTATCAAAATCCGTAACCAAGGATAATATAATAATTTTATATTCATTAATTTTAAATTAATCCATAAATCCCTAATTTTTTATTTCATTTTTCTCTTCTCCCTCTTATGTTCTCCTTCATCTCTCCCTTCTCTTTCTTTCTTTTGTCCGTCTTTACCCTCCTCCCCTTCTCTTTTTTGACTTTTCTTCTCCCACTTTTCCCTTCTCTTTCTTTCCTTTCTTCTCCGTCTTTTCCCTCCTCCCCTTCTCTTTTTTCCTTTTCTTCTCCCTCTTTTCCCTTCTCTTTCTTTCCTTTCTTCTCCCTCTTTTTCTTTACCTTTAAACAACAATCTCTGCTCCTTCGGCTCCAGACCAGTCTCTTGGGCAAGAACCCTTTTCAAATCCCCTTCCATTGAACCAAATATACCCATTGAACATCAATTTCAAAATGTCTAATAATTCAAATGCTGTAGCCTATGCCTATCCCACCAATTAAGTACTTAAATTCTTCATATCATTTTTCTTTAAGAAAAGAGGAAATTCAATGAGATATAACGTATTAAACATTGTAGCTACTGGGACAATAATAATTCACAGAACATTATAATAATCAAGGAAAAAAAAACACAGAAGATAAAATTACAAACCCAGAAAAGAAAAACACAAAAAAACACAGAAGATAAAATTACAAACCCAGGAAAGAGAAGGGGAGGAGGGAAAAGCCGGAGAAGAAAGGAAGGAAAGAGAAGGGAAAAGAGGGAGAAGTAAAGGAAAAAAAGAGAAGGAGAGGGGAGGGAGGAAAAGACGGAGAAAAAGAAAGAGCAGGGAGAGATGAAGAAGAAGATAAGAGAGAGAAGAGAAAAATAAAATAAAAAATAGGATAAAAAAATTAGGGGGATTAATTTAAAATTAACAGATATAAATTAGTAAATTATTATATTATCTTTAGATAAAAGGATTTTACTAAAAATAGGTAATTACCATTTTCAAATAGGTAATTATCATTTTCAAACTTTTTGGTATCAAATTATCTTTATAACAAACTATGGGTAGACGCAAATCTTCTGCCTAAGTAGTGAGACCAACTTCATTTACAATTCACATTTCATTAGTTTTTTGTGGGTTATAATCATTTAACTCAACAAAATCCATATTCAATTGACATCATCCACTCCACGGCGATTCCAATCTAAGCATTAGAAATGTGTACTCCGGTGCTTACATGTCATAAGTCATAACACGATTGTAAATTTACCAAAATTGTTCATCTTAATATTATTAAAATCCCATGCGAGCGGTTCTGCTATGTCATTAATGCCCCTATATGTCTTTACTCTCATGAGTTGAGTTCCTGAATTGACAATACCTGACTTCCAATGGTTATGTACAGTGAAGTAAAACAATGAACAAAAACAGGCCACGGTGGAATAAAGTAAATAATATTAATTAATTAATGCCAAGCAGCTGTTTGCTGATAGGCTGTTAGAGTGTGGTTTGATGAGTGTTGTAACACAGCAGGACTTTAGCAGAGGCAGCTTTTGCTTTATAAATACAGAGAAAGGCTAGTCTCTGTTGTTCACTGCGGTTTGGTTGTTGGTTGGTTAGTTGGTTGGTTGGCTGGGTTGGGTTGTTTACTTTGGGAAGCCTGAAAATATGTCTCTCTCTCTTTCGGCTTGTACTCTCTTAGCCCTTCTCACTTGGTTCACTACTTCTCTGCTTCTCTGTAATGGCTTCCCTGCTTATCAACACCACCACCACCACCCTCGCTTTGCTACACACAACTACAGAGATGCTCTCACCAAATCAATCCTCTTTTTTGAAGGCCAGAGGTCAGGGAAGCTTCCTTCTAACCAGAGAGTTACCTGGAGGAGAGACTCCGGTCTCTCTGATGGTACTGCAATGCATGTATACATACACATTCCCTCTTTCTCTTTCATTTTAGAGTTCATATTTTGTACTTTTTCCTTATTTTGTGGGTTTTGCTGATCTGATGTGGAATCGACAATGCAGGTTGATTTGGTTGGGGGCTACTATGATGCGGGGGACAATGTGAAATTTGGATTTCCCATGGCTTTCACTGTAACCATGCTTTCATGGAGTGTTATTGAGTTTGGTGGGTTGATGAAAGGTGAGCTGCAGCATGCCAGAGAAGCCATTCGTTGGGGTACTGATTATCTTCTCAAAGCTACTGCACACCCAGACACTATCTATGTTCAGGTTTATACCATCTTCACCGCATTCTTAAAATTTACGCTTGTTCTGTTTGCTGGAAAATAAAAAAAGGGCGTTTTATATAACCTGGTCATGTGCATTGTTAGACATTTGGTTAGGAAAAAACACAGAGCAGGACTAATTTCGGGTTTGTTGTTTGTAGGTGGGTGATGCTAACAAGGACCATTCTTGTTGGGAGAGACCAGAAGATATGGATACAACAAGGACTGTTATCAAGATAGACAGTAACTCTCCCGGTTCTGATGTGGCCGGAGAAACTGCTGCTGCTCTGGCTGCTGCTTCTTTGGTCTTCAGGAGATGTGACCCAACCTACTCCAAGCTTTTGGCCAGGAGGGCTATGAGGGTAAAACTTCAATTGGAACATAACATAAACTGTGACAATTTCATATTTGTTTATACACCTTGGTTTTATTTTGTTTTTATGTGAAGGTGTTCGAGTTTGCTGACAAATACAGAGGAGCTTACAGCAATGGGTTAAGGAAATATGTCTGTCCATTCTATTGCTCTTACTCTGGTTACCAGGTAAAGTTTCTGCTCTTGAACTTCTCCATCTAATTTTGGGAGTGGTTTTTTTTTAAATGTGTGTAAACTTAAATCTTTTAATGGTGACTTAACGATGAAAGGACGAGCTGCTGTGGGGTGCTGCTTGGCTGCATAAAGCCACCAAGAACCCAAGGTATCTGAACTACATTCAAGTTAATGGACAAACCCTCGGAGCTGCAGAGTTTGATAACATCTTTGGGTGGGATAACAAGCATGCTGGAGCAAGGATTCTTCTTTCTAAGGTCCATATAAATATGATCTCACCACTTTTTACTTGTTTATTGTCTTAGTTATTGATGAAAGTGGGCCTTAATGAGGGTTTGATTTTTCATTTGAAGGCATTTCTGGTTCAGAAGGTACAGTCCCTCCATGATTACAAGGGTCATGCAGATAATTTCATTTGTTCTCTCATTCCAGGGGCGTCATTTTCTTCATCCCAATACACTCCAGGTTACCCATTATCCCCTTTCGTTGTCTTTCACAGATACGAAACATTGTATAACTTTTTATTGTAACGGCTAGTTTTGTTTTTATCTTATGAATGATGAACAGGAGGACTTCTGTTCAAAATGAGTGATAGCAACATGCAGTATGTTACCTCCACTTCATTCTTGCTCTTAACATATGCCAAGTATTTAACCTCCTCTCACATGGTTGTTAACTGCGGCGGTACAACTGTAACTCCAAAGAGGCTCCGGGCCATTGCCAAGAAACAGGTATATAAATCTCACAGTAATTATTTTTACACACTTCTACAACCAGAAAGAGGATATTAATAAATAAATAAACCATATCATATTTACTGATTTTATTTTGGAGGTTAAATATTAATTAATTTGAGTGTAAAAATGCATCATCTATCAGGTGGACTACTTGCTTGGTGACAACCCAATGAAGATTTCATACATGGTGGGGTATGGTCCAAGGTACCCACAAAGGATACACCATAGGGGATCATCGCTGCCGTCCGTTGCTGCACACCCAGCCAAGATCCAATGTTCTTCAGGCTTCAGTTTTTTGAACACTCAATCTCCCAACCCCAACATCCTAATTGGAGCAGTTGTTGGTGGGCCTGATCTGCATGATAGGTTCCCAGATCAACGGTCAGATTATGAGCAATCAGAGCCATCCACTTACATGAACGCACCCCTTGTAGGAGCACTATCATACCTTGCTCACTCATTTGGCCAGCTCTAAGCCTAATATCCTCTCCATCTCCAACTTATTAGTAACTTTAGCAAATATAGGAACTCGTTTAAGTTGTTAATTAGCTCTTCTGTGAATGTGCACGAGGCGGGCAATAGAGTCAAGACCTAAGGGCTCGAGCCCCAAACCTTGAAGCACAGTGGTCAAGGGGTTATTTTTAATATTATTATTGACAGATTTAGCGGATGTTGTGAGCGTAAGTGTCGTGACAAGAACGGTGTTTGTAAGATTATATATGGCTTTTGGTCATGGACAGGTGAGAACAGGATTAGTTTGATGTTTTTATCAAAAGTATGTAAGTCTGTTTTTTGGGACTCGTAATTATTTGTAAGAACTTTGTTGAGTATTTTAACTCGTTCTCTCTCTCTCTCCCTGTATGCTTACTTGCTTAGTTTGTTTGTTCTCTAGAAACGAACAACAAATTATCAGAACAAAACGAGGGATAACAAATTAACTATAACAATATTGTCAGTGGATAATGTAGTTAACATATTGAAGTGTTGATGGGCAGAGTATTTGACTGTTTAAAGCGGAGGGAAGGAAGAGAAGATGATGAAGTATATTTTTAGAATTCAACAATAAGTGAGGCATGTGGGCTTGATGGAGGTTGGTCAAAAAAGCTGGTTAGGCTTGTCAGGAGTGTCAGAACTCGACTTTAGCTTTTAAGACAGGGAGAGGGAGATGAGATAAAAGAGAGCCCAAAGCCATGACTGGCTGCCGAAACGATGGATCTAAGTGAGAAAAGGAATTCGACAGACATTCCCACTGTCCATAAACCACCAATTGATTAATGTTCCATTGTGATGCACAGAGAAAGACCTCACTTCATTGTTTAATGTTTACAGTGAAAGAAAAAAAAAAAAAAAAAATATTCCAACTTTTTCGAATAAAAATATATATTTAAATATTTTACATCATGTATTTTACCGATAAAAAAGGGAAGATTTTTCATAAAACACGCCTCACGTTTTTTAATCATCAACTTATGGCACTTTGGTGGAAAATTGTTAAAACCACGCCTGAACTGTAACGCTATCCAATTCCATTCAAGTTGTAAGTTGAAATTTACATAAAATTACCGTTTTATCTTCACTTTCGTTATATTTGAAATTGTTTGTTATTTTCCAATAATTCAAACCTAACACTTCTAAGTATTTAATTCAAAACTCTAACCAAACTATATATTAATAATACTTTATATAACTTATTCTAAAAGCAAAAAAAAGTTAAAAAATTAAAAATTAAATAAAGATATCACACATATAACTTAATTTCGCCAGATTTAGTGAATTAATGATGAATTCGATTTGAAGGCAAAAATCTTTTTATCATATTTAATGAGTGAGGGCAAAATTGTATTTTTATAAAAATATAAGTTGCAAGTTAACGGGATTGAATGGTGTTAGGGTCCAGGGGTAGTTTTTGACTATTTTCCACGAAAGTATCATAAGTTGATTATTAGCAAAAAGTGGGGTAGTTTCTGAAAATCTCCCCTAAAAAAGTAATGACCTTCTCTGTGCAAATTTTGACTCGGTCCACATAAATAGGACCTAACAAGGGACCCACAGGCTCTACCACATAAGTAGAAACTTTATATTTAATAGGTATATAACAGTCACTCGTTGCATCAATTACGTGAGAATGGAGAAGGTGAGCAAGAATTACATGTTTACTTTAATGAGTTTTATCATGCTGATTCGCTACTCGTTTAATCTGGAATGATTTTAAAATTTAGATAGTAGGAGTTCCCTTGTTGAGTAAGTGATTGTGACATAGATATTAAGGACAAAAATCAAATCAACAATGGCTATGAATTCAGAATCAGCTTGGACGAGATAAGGGGGGAAAAAACTAACAAAAAAAATTTGGCAAGACAATTTCTTTTTTTTTTTCAGCACAACAGCCAGGATACACAAATAACTTCCAACATCAGGGAATAGTGTAAGACTTTCATAGAGAAGTTGCCGGAGCAAGTGAGTCACACATCTCTTTAAACATACAACATAAATAAACTTTTACATCCACAAACAAACTATTGACCCCACTTTATTTATATTTATACATTATATGTACTACACGACGTAGGTGGTCATAACATATGCAGTTCCTTGAGTACCTGCACCTCAATGCTGGTCGTCAATTGCCAAAGGAACAGACTTGGCCTGAAAAAAATAAAATAAATACAAGCATAAAATGCTGTTAGAAGTTCAAACACAATAAAACCAAATAACCGCCATAATAACAACTTTACTACATTTGCACACCACTTTTAATTTTTCAAATCCTGTGAATTTCATTAATTTGTTATATTATGTTAAGTGTAACCAAGGGGTTGCAACTGAAACTCCAGCACTCACCAAATCACGAAACTTGAGAATGTAGAACATCTCAAGGTATCTACGAGTCTCACGCCTCTCAAGTTTCGAGACATACTTCCAGAAACTATATACTCCAGCCAATGTCAGTAGCCTTTCAGAATAAATATTCCAAGTATACCTACAATTCAAGATCTCTTTCTAAGCCTCACAAATTGACAATTACTAGTAAAGAAGTACCAATTCTGTCAGGATATGCTAACCTTTCGTAAATCCTTTTAAGCCCTCCATCAGAGATTTTAGTCCAATGGTTTGGATCTTCCTTGCACTTTTGAAAGAAATCAGCCATGAGTTCAGCAGTCTGATCAGGGTGATATGGATCAATATGAAATCCTGACACACCATGCTCAATAATCTCTGCAGGGCCACCATGGCAAGTGGCAAATGTTGGAAGCCCACAGGTCATAGCTTCCACAACTGTAAGTCCAAAAGCTTCATAAAAAGCAGGCTGCCACAGATAAATAAAAAGAAAAGATAAGAGATAGTAGCGGGTTTAGTAATCAAAACAAAGAACTGATTAGTATGAATAGCTAAATTTCAATAGCATGAAATGCACATATACCTGCACAAAAGCTCCTTTGGTGTCAGCTATGTAGCGATAGAGCTCACCATTGCGCGCTCGATTTGTTTGGGCTTCTATCCAACGAAACTGACCATCCAAGTTGTATTTCTTCATAAGGTCATGCATCTTCTCAATTTCTGCAATTTCTTCTCTGTCTTTGGACTTCTTCACATCAATGTAACCTGCTACGACAACAAGGTTAACCAGTTCCCTCAATCTGGTATTCTTACCATAGCACTCAACCAATCCTGACATATTTTTCACGTGGTCAAGCCTTGCCATGGAAAAGATTACAGGCTTCAATCGATCACTCAATGTACCACTGCAATAATAAAAATGAAAAATCAGAAAATTTTCTATTTTTGAAAGTAGAATCTAACTGCCATGTAAATTTATCATTATATTTTAACTTTGTCAGAACTACAGCTAATAGTAGATACAATAATAATCTTTCCTAGTGTTGAGCAATCTATTACTATTAAGAATTATGTATTAGCTTTGTTCACTGCCATTTATCATTTTTGAAAGAGTTTCCTGACAAAGTCCAAGGAGGCATTATACTCGTATAGGAATAATAATAGTACAAGGGGTAGCAGATGCAGAATTGTCACCAGCAAAGATATATTTGTTTCATTAATGTGTCCTTTAGATATACCTTCTAAGGTAGAAGAACATGTAGAATCAGGAAGATACTCACACATGCTCATCGTTCTGCTCAGGATCATACAGCAACTGTTCTATTGAAGCATGGAGGGCTGTAAGTCTTTTTTGCTTTGCAGAGTACGGGAAATAAATGTCCATGTCTGCGCCCGGAGAGACAATATTGAACTTTGGATCAAAAACATCAATGCCATGAACAACTCGATACAACCCCGGAAGAGTGAATGCTGTGTGACTCTCATACTGACCAACAGTATTCTTCCTGAAAGAATACAAAGATTAATTATTACTATAAGTAATTTAGATGATTCCAAATTTAAAAAAGAGTTGACATAGTTGCTAGTAATGATGCACATCTTTATTTTATAATTGTAAAAGCAGGCTGAAGTTAGCATATGGGAACGGGCAAAATATGCCATGAGGAAGAACATTACTTTTGATAGCACATAAGAATAATGAGTAGTCATGCAATTGAAGCTGCTCATAAAGGGTCGGACTTACGTTCCTGCAATCTCCTGGTATGTACTGGTGATGATAAAGTCTGCATTGTTCATGGCTATCAGGTCAGCAGTGAATTGGCATGAAAAATGATATTTTTCATCAAACTTCTTCCAATATATATCCGAATCTGGATATTTTGTTTTCTCCAATGCATGGGCTATGGTGCACTACACATCAACAATTACAAACATGAGCTTCCACTCTTAGAACATAATATATTCATATGACATGCCTCACATTTCAAACCAAAAAGTTGAAAAGTCATAATTAACCTGAGTAATTCCCATTTTATAAGCCAACAAAGATGCAACGAGGTTCCCATCACTGTAGTTGCCAATAATGAGATCAGGAAAACCCTGTAATTCACCTGTAATTTCGCTTGCTACATCCTGATCATACACAAAAGCAGTTGGCATATTTATAGCTGAATTAGAAAAAGCATGTGAACATGGAAAATTAACAAACATAAACAAAAAAACACCTTTATTTTATAGAAGCCTAAATACACATTTGACCAAAGAAGGTATGATCAAAATAGGGAAGAGAGTAATTTTGGCATCAGCCGGAAAAAACAGTAGACAGTAAAAGATTATGATTAAAGATGGCAGGTTAGCAGAGATGGGTAATTTGTTGGATGTTAATCAGTTAAACCTAAAAAATAAATTTTGACAAAAAGAGCAAATTAGTAAATTAAATATAGATCTTCAATTTTCAGGTTCAGTTTTTAATTGAAATAGTCTGCCAATCGATAGTTGATTAAGAAAAAAAAAAAAAAAAATCCATTGTTGGGTCTGGCAAGATCCATGTTCACCCCCCCAATCTATGTCTTTGCAGATTCATAAGTCTTAACTTAAAATTAAAATTCAAAATTTTAACATAAATTCCCAATCATTGACTATAGTTAATCCAATGGTGTATAAAGTTGCTAATAGGCAACATTATTGGATTAAATAATCGAGAATTTATGTCAAATTATTCAGTCAAAATTTTATATTAACAGATCCCAAATCCTATATATATTAAGTATATAGGTTAAACTATAAAAGTAAATTCCGTATGTTAAAAGTTAAATAGACTTTACCTCAGCAAAGGTCTCTAGGTATGGCCATACATCAAATCTAGATATCCATTTACGAAGAATGCCTTTCTCTGATCTGAAAGGAACCCGCAATATATGAGTGTGTTCTGTTCCACTGACTCTTTCAAGCCGTTGGTTGCAAGTAGTCCCTTTTGCATCAGGTATCAACCTGGTCACCTTTCATAAACCAGCGAAAAATGTTTTAGAATTACAAAAGGAAAATAAGAGAAGATATGGAACAAATTGAAGAAATCCAATGTGAACAAAGAATAAATATACTTACAATAAGAATTCTAGGAGTGATGTCCAGTCCTTGCCTCTTAATCCTAAGAAGCATTTTATTCTCCAGGGCACGCACTTGGTCCAGAATATAAACAACCTTCAAATTGTAATGGAAAAAAAATTATTAGAAGAATTATATATCCTCTGAATGATTTATCATTGTAACATTTACACATAAGAGTTTATAATTCATGCATGGGACAAGAAGGAACAAAAATGTTGAAGTTATCCACGTTTGCAGCATAAAGTTTCCATAGGGATTATCATATTAATTATAATACCTGCCCACCAGTGTCAGGCAAACCTAGAACATTAGCTTGGCCGAAGTATCCATGTGGTGACAGGATGACAACATTAAACACCATTGGTATTCTCCCGAGGAATTTCTCTAGTGTAGAGGGATCAGGAGCCTGAAGGATGTCCAAGAGAAGATGCATCATCTCCAATACATGTTCTGCAGTATCCCCCCAACCTCTCTCAAAACCCATACCTTGTAATCTGCACAAAGGAAAAACAGAAATGTCAGGCATTGAAAAATATGCTAGTACTTATGTAGCCTGATTTAGACTGCATCAATTAAAAAAAAAAAAAAAAAAAAAAAAAAAAGAAATTAAATGTGATAACATGAATAAAGAAGCTTACACATATTCAAACTCAGAAAAGGGTGTATCAGGTGGAAGCTTAGAAAGATGATCTTCTGCCTTGGCCAGAGAAGATTGAAGTTGGGGTATGCTTTGAACCCGATCATTCAACATTAATGACTGCATATTATCTTTAGTCAAAACTCATTCCAGAGAATCCCCAATCAAAACAAAATACCACTGAGAAACAGTCAACTTCCATTTACTGTCTAATCCCACAGGTAAATTATATGGATCATCAATCTGACAAAATCACATGATAAAATTTTAAAATCATACAAAAAGAAATTCAAGTCATAGCACTTACATGTCCTTTATATCTGTGTGTTCGAAGGAAATCAAGCAATGGCTCCAAACAGTCTTTGTTACGGAACATACTGGAAGAAAGGTGGCGGTTGAGAAAATGAACACCATTGCCAATGGATGAAGACCGGTTGGGGCGAGGAAAAGTTGCATTGAATGGCTCGAAATCGAGCTCAAGCACAAATCTGTCATTAGACCTAAAAATTGTGTGCAAACAAAGAGACGTTACTGAGAAAAAAAATCTAAAGGGTTGTTAAATTAGGTATGCATAATTCAATTTTTTTTTTTTAAGAAAAATCTTCATAAGATATTGAAGTTACTTACGTCTCATCTACTAGTGCTTCTTTAAAGTGAAGATATTCAGATACAGTTAATTGGTCCACGCTAAGTTCATGGACGTTAACACGGACATATTCCCAAACTCCTGGTCTTGGACGAACTGCTATGACCACGAAGGGAGGCAGAATGATTGCTTCCTATCAACAAATTATACCCAAATTACGTTTGTTCTTCACAAAATGGAGGCCCACAAACTCGCTGCAGCAGCCCAAAAGAAAAGAAAAAAAAAAAAACATGGAATTCTTTTCTCCTATACCCTCAAGAAAATATGATTGTCTAAATGGCTTTGTGTTTTTTTTGTGAACATTGTGTAACTATCTTTTTATTTTTTCCTCATTAAATATTTAACAAAATCAAAGATAAAAACCTAAAACGCAGCAAGCCTTTTGTGTTAAAGTATGTGTTATACCGATAGCAGAGCTGTATCTGAGATCACATTGAACTGTCGAAATTGTCCTTTCGATTTCAATTCCTTTCATCAAATTAATAATTCAAGCAGAAAGAAATATTCTACAGTATTAAAGAATCATGAGTGAGTGACTAAATGAGCAAACAGCGTAGAATCAGCAGGTAAGTAACCAACAATAAATATTGTATTTGGATGATCTTAATTTGCATTTTAAGTTGACGTGGCGAAAATCCAAAAGCAATTAAAAAAAAAAAAAAAAAAAAAAAGGGATGGTCCCCTACATTTAAGGTAATAGAGAAAAAAAAAATTAAAGGCTTATCAACAAGTTATTCGACTCTGGAAGCCTAGAAATCAAAAGTATGTGGTAACAAAACAAAATCAGTGGCAACGAAACAAAGATAGACAAGGAAATCAACCTGAGCAGATTTAAGAACTTCACTAAATGGACCATCCCTCAGCTGTTGACGAGCTTCATCGTCGCCGATAATGTTGTCAAACTCATCAATTAGAACATGAGGTTGCAAAATACCTTTACCTTGAGACACATACCTTCAAAATTCAACAAACATCACTCTTCATTACAAAACCCTAACGGAACATATTATCCTAAAAAGGAAAAACAAAAATGGATGTGAAAAGTAACCTGGAGAGGAGAGAAACAAGTTCGTTACGATGAACAGAGAGAGTGTCCTCCACGCGCTCTCTCATGCTAGGAATCCGAGCTAGCTTAGAGGTCGCCATGATTGATTAAGTTGTGAGTGTGAAATGTTAATCTCACTTCCTTTTGCGTTACAGTATGTGATGATCAGAGGGAGGAAAGAGAAGCAAACAAGGATTTGACAAGTGTGAGTTGTAGGTAAAGAGGCAAACTTATATTTATATAGAGTGGGCTAGTGAGTAGTGGCTGATAACAAGAGGAGAGGAAGTGGTGGACAAATCAAATTGGTGTTTTGAAGTTTTGAGACTATGACGTTTTTTTTTCCAGCGCGATTGGGAAGTGGGAAAAATACAGCTAAAAAACCGTTATACGGTGATATCAACACCGTTACTATGTCCAGTCCAATTAAACCATATTGTGCCACGTCAAATCAATTATGCAATTTAAAAAAAAAGGCCACGGTTTGACATTTTGACCTTATTTGGAGGTTTAAAATGGTATCTGATTGAATAANATTAATGTTCCATTGTGATGCACAGAGAAAGACCTCACTTCATTGTTTAATGTTTACAGTGAAAGAAAAAAAAAAAAAAACAATATTCCAACTTTTTCGAATAAAAATATATATTTAAATATTTTACATCATGTATTTTACCGATAAAAAAGGGAAGATTTTTCATAAAACACGCCTCACGTTTTTTAATCATCAACTTATGGCACTTTGGTGGAAAATTGTTAAAACCACGCCTGAACTGTAACGCTATCCAATTCCATTCAAGTTGTAAGTTGAAATTTACATAAAATTACCGTTTTATCTTCACTTTCGTTATATTTGAAATTGTTTGTTATTTTCCAATAATTCAAACCTAACACTTCTAAGTATTTAATTCAAAACTCTAACCAAACTATATATTAATAATACTTTATATAACTTATTCTAAAAGCAAAAAAAAGTTAAAAAATTAAAAATTAAATAAAGATATCACACATATAACTTAATTTCGCCAGATTTAGTGAATTAATGATGAATTCGATTTGAAGGCAAAAATCTTTTTATCATATTTAATGAGTGAGGGCAAAATTGTATTTTTATAAAAATATAAGTTGCAAGTTAACGGGATTGAATGGTGTTAGGGTCCAGGGGTAGTTTTTGACTATTTTCCACGAAAGTATCATAAGTTGATTATTAGCAAAAAGTGGGGTAGTTTCTGAAAATCTCCCCTAAAAAAGTAATGACCTTCTCTGTGCAAATTTTGACTCGGTCCACATAAATAGGACCTAACAAGGGACCCACAGGCTCTACCACATAAGTAGAAACTTTATATTTAATAGGTATATAACAGTCACTCGTTGCATCAATTACGTGAGAATGGAGAAGGTGAGCAAGAATTACATGTTTACTTTAATGAGTTTTATCATGCTGATTCGCTACTCGTTTAATCGGAAGATTTAAAATTTGATAGTAGGGGTTCCCTTGTTGAGTAAGTGATTGTGACATAGATATTAGGACAAAAATCAAATCACAATGGCTATGAATTCAGAATCAGCTTGGACGAGATAAGGGGGGAAAAAACTAACAAAAAAATTTGGCAAGCAATTTTTTTTTTTCAGCACAACAGCCAGGATACACAATAACTTCCACATCAGGGAAAGTGTAAGACTTCATAGAGAAGTTGCCGGAGCAAGTGAGTCACACATCTCTTTAAACATACAACATAAATAAACTTACATCCACAACAAACTATTGACCCCACTTTATTTATATTTAACATTATATGTACTACACGAGGTAGGTGGTCATAACATAGCATTCCTTGAGTACTGCACCTCAATGTGGTCGTCAATTGCCAAAGGAACGACTTGGCTGAAAAAAATAAAATAAATACAAGCATAAAATGCTGTTAGAAGTTCAAACACAATAAACCAAATAACCGCCATAATAACAACTTACTACATTTGCACACCACTTTTAATTTTCACATCCTGTGAATTTCATTAATTTGTTATATTATGTTAAGTGTAACCAAGGGGTTGCAACTGAAACTCCAGACTCACCCAATCACGAAACTTAGAATGTAGGACATCTCAAGGTATCTACGAGTCTCACGCCTCTCAAGTTTCGAGACATACTTCCAGAAACTATATACCAGCCAATGTCAGTAGCCTTTCAGAATAATATTCCAAGGATACCTACAATTCAAGATCTCTTTAAGCCTCACAAATTGACAATTACTAGTAAGAAGTACCAATTCTGTCGGATATGCTAACCTTTCGTAAATCCTTTTAAGCCCTCATCAGAGATTTTAGTCCAATGGTTTGGATCTTCCTTGCACTTTTGAAAGAAATCAGCCATGAGGTCAGCAGTCTGATCAGGGTGATAGGATCAATATGAAATCCGACACACCTGCTCAATAATCCTGCAGGGCCACCATGGCAAGTGGCAAATGTGGAAGCCCACAGGTCATAGCTTCCACAACTGTAAGTCAAAAGCTTCATAAAAAGCAGGCTGCCACAGATAAAAAAAAGAAGATAAGAGATAGTAGCGGGTTTAGTAATCAAAACAAAGAACTGTTAGTATGAATAGCTAAATTTCATAGCATGAAATGACATATACTGCACAAAAGCTCCTTTGGTGTCAGCTATGTAGCGATAGAGCTCCCATGCGCGCTCGATTTGTTGGGCTTCTATCCAACGAAACTGACCATCCAAGTTGTATTTCTTCATAAGGTCATGCATCTTCTCAATTTCTGCAATTTCTCTCTGTCTTTGGACTTTTCACATCAATGTAACCTGCTAGACAACAAGGTTAACCAGTTCCCTCAATCTGGTATTCTACCATAGCACTCAACCAACCGACATATTTTTCACGTGGTCAAGCCTTGCCATGGAAAAGATTAGGCTTCAATCGATCACTCAAGTACCACTGCAATAATAAAATGAAAATCAGAAAATTTACTATTTTTGAAAATAGAACTAACTGCCATGTAAATTTATAATAATTTAACTTTTCAGAAAACAGCTAATAGTAGAAATAATATCTTTCCTAGTGTTAGCAATCTATTACTATTAAGAATTTGTATTAGCTTTGTTCACTGCCATTATCTTTTGAAAGAGTTTCCTGACAAAGTCAAGGAGCATTATACCGTATAGGAATAATAATAGTACAAGGGGTGCAGATGCGAATTGTCCAGCAAAGATATATTTGTTTCATTAATGTGTCCTTAGATATACCTTCTAAGGTAGAAGAACAGTGAATCAGGAAGATACTCACACATGCTCATCGTTCTGCTCAGGATCATACAGCAACTGTTCTATTGAAGCATGGAGGGCTGTAAGTCTTTTTGCTTTGCAGAGTAGGGAAATAAATGTCCATGTCTGCGCGGAGAGCAATATTGAATTTGGATCAAAAACATCAATGCCGAACAACTCGATACAACCCCGGAAGAGTGAATGCTGTGTGACTCCATACTGACCAACAGTATTCTTCCTGAAAGAATACAAAGATTAATTATTACTTAAGTAATTTAGATGATTCCAAATTTAAAAAAGAGTGACTAGTTGCAGTAATGATGCACATCTTTTTTTAGAATGTAAAAGCAGGCTGAAGTTGCATATGGGAACGGGCAAAATATGCCATGAGGAAGGACATTACTTTTGATAGCACATAAGAATAATGAGTAGTCCTGCAATTGAAGCTGCTCATAAAGGGTCGGACTTACGTTCCTGCAATCTCCTGGTATGTACTGGTGATGATAAAGTCTGCATTGTTCATGGCTATCAGGTCAGCAGTGAATTGGCATGAAAAATGATATTTTCTAAACTTCTTCCAATATATATCCGAATCTGGATATTTTGTTTTCTCCAATGCATGGGCTATATTGCACTACACATCAACATTAAAAACATGAGCTCCACTCTTAGAACATAAAATATTCATATGAACTGCCTCACATTTCAAACCAAAAAGTTGAAAAGTCATAATAACCTGAGTAATTCCCATTTTATAAGCCAACAAAGACGCAACAGGTTCCCATCACTGTAGTTGCCAATAATGAGATCAGGAAAACCCTGTAATTCACCGTAATTTCGCTTGCTACATCCTGATCATACCAAAAGCAGTTGGCATATTTATAGCTGAATTAGAAAAAGCATGTGAACATGGAAAATTAACAAACATAAACAAAAAAAACACCTTTATTTTATAGAAGCCTAATACACATTTGACAAAGAAGGTATGATCAAATAAGGAAGAGAGTAATTTGGCACAGCGGAGAAAAAACAGGAGCGTAAAAGATTATGATTAAAGATGGCAGGTTAGCAGAGTGGGTAATTTGTTGGATGTTAATCAATTAAACCTAAAAAATAAATTTTGACAAAAAGAGCAAATTAGTAAATTAATATAGATCTTCAATTTTCAGGTTCAGTTTTAATTGAAATAGTCTGCCAATCGATAGTTGATTAAAAAAAAAAAAAAATCATTGTTGGGCTGGCAAGATCCATGTTCACCCCCCAATCTTGTCTTTGCAGATTCATAAGTCTTAACTTAAAAAAAATTCAAAATTTTAACATAAATTCCCAATTGATATAGTTATCCAATGGGTATAAAGTTGTAATAGGCAACATTATTGGATTAAATAATCGAGATTTATGTCAATTATTCAGTCAAAATTTTATATTACAGAACCAAATCATAATAAATTAAGTATATAGGTTAACTATAAAAGTAAATTCCTATGTTAAAAGTTAAATAGACTTTACCTCAGCAAAGGTCTCTAGGTATGGCCATACATCAAATTAGATATCCATTTACGAAGAATGCCTTTCTTGATCTGAAAGGAACCCGCAATATGAGTGTGTTCTGTTCCACTGACTCTTTCAAGCCGTTGGTTGCAAGTAGTCCCTTTTGCATCAGGTATCAACTGGTCACCCTTCATAAACCAGCGAAAATAAGAGAAGATATGGAACAAATTGAAGAAAACCAATGTGACAAAGAATAATATCTTACAATAGAATTCTAGGGTGATGTCCAGTCCTTGCCTCTTAATCCTAAGAAGCATTTTATTCTCCAGGGCACGCACTTGGTCAGAATATAAACAACCTTCAAATTGTAATGGAAAAAAAATTATTAGAAGAATTATATCTCTGAATGATTTATCATTGTCATTTACACACTAAGAGTTTTTGCATGGGACAAGAAG